CCCCACTGCGGCTCCCCGAGGCCGTGGCTCTGGCCCCAGCTTTGGAGGATGACCTCAGGCGGGGAGCGTCCCAAGCAGCCCCGCTGGGCCCAGGCGTCCGGCCGGCCTCCGGCGGGCGCACGGGCAGCCTGGCAGCAGCTGGCTTGCGCGAGGCCAGGACTGGCAGCTATTCCCGGCAACGGCTGCACAGCTCGGCCCTCCTGTGCTTTGGTTTCCCCATTTGTAAGATGAGGCCAGCGCTGCCCTGTGCTGGGACAGTTAATGCGCTGGGCACCGGCCACCAGGACTGGACCGGAGACGAGGGAGGGACGGGCACGTGTCACCCTCTCTGGGGAACGCTGGCCAAAGGCCAGGGCCGCCCTTGGGCGCCAGACCCCAGGTGCAGCGAGGCAGAGCGTTGCTGTCAGCCACGGTGCTGAAACACAGCGAGGTGGGACAGGAACCCGGACAGACACCCTGGCGGGCCCACACGGCCCCGCAGGCCGGGAGCAAGGATGAAAAGGCTTTATTGATAAATACACGGACTATGTACAGCGGGGAGACATCTCCAGCCGGCCCAGCGCGCCGGGCACCGGGAGCAGCAGCCCGGCCCCCAGGGCAGGCGCAGCAGGACATGGCCTCTCCCCGGCGGGAGCGCTGCCGGGCACCCCGACCCCGCGGGACGTCGGGTCCTGCCCCTTCTGCAGCCAGCGAGGCGCCTGTCCCTGTGCCCGTCGGTGAGGGGCACCGCGGCACGCACAGCCCCGCGCAGCCTGGGGCACCCCCTGGGCCCGGGAGCTCTGCACAGGGGAGTGGGGCTGCTCCACGCGGGCGCCAGGGCACCCTGGGGCTGCTGCTGTGCCCCGTGTGGGACGGGAGCTGCCGGGGCCTGCCCCGTTCTGCCGGGCCTGTGCAGGCGGGCGCTCAGTTCCTGGGCGGCAGCGGCTGGTTCACGATCACTTGCACGACGAAATCCTTCTGGATCTTGGTGTCCTGCAGGCGCGTGCGGTCGGTGAGCAGCTTCCCGGAGAAGAACCAGCGCTGCCAGGCCCCCTACCCCCGCAGGTCGTGGGGCAGCGGCTGCACGGGCTCCACGCTCTCCTCCTCGCTCCGCTCCAGGATCAGGTTGACGGGCGGCGCCAGGCAGTACACGGGCAGCTGGTACCGGTTGCCCAGCTCATCGTAGCACTCGGTCAGCGACCCTGGGGACAGTGCGGGAAGAGGCTGTGGGCACGTGCAGGACAGGGCCACGCCATGCAACAGCACAGAGCCAGCCCTGCGCCCCATGGCCTCTCTCCAACCCAGGGCTGTGCCCGTGGCTCCCCCAGGAGCTGGGGCGGGCAGCACCCCCTCCACCAGCCCTGACCCCGCTGCTCACCGTGGGGCAGGGTGATGCTGGCGCCGTCCAGGATGGCCTGGGCCAGGCTGTGCTCGTTGGCCTCCACGGCGTAGGCGGCCGCCTTGAGGGCGTCCCAGATCTCCTTGCGGCCCTCGAAGGCAGGCGCCGTGTCCCAGAACTCGTCCCGCTTGCTGCGCAGCTGCCCGTCCGTCATGGGGTAGTCACTCTTCCACTTGGGACGCTCCTTCTTCAGGGGCTCGTTGCGGCCTGCGAGGGGGTGGGATGCTCAGCTGTGGCACAGGGCTTCCAGGTGGCCCCCGCCACCAGGGAAGGGCTCCGTGCCCCCCATCATGTCCCTGCCAGGCACAGGACAGTCCCCAAAGCAGTGACAAGACAGGGCTCATCCTGCCCAAGGGCCCCACGGCCACTGCATCCCTCGCCCCGTGCCCTGCGTGGAGGGGCCCGGCGAGGCCATACCAAGCTGGCCTCTTCCCTGGCGGGGTGGCCACGAGGCCTGGGCCCTTTGAGGCAGGCAATATTTATAGCTCGGGAATTAGCCAGGGAATAAGCTGGTGGCTCGGCGTGGGAGAGGGATTACGGGGGCTGAGCCGTGGCCCAGGGGGAAGGGCAGGACTCCTGGGTCCTCTCTGGCGTCACCCCGGCCCCCTGG